AATTGAAGAGTTAGGACCAATATGCAATAAAGAAAATATTTGGCTGCATGTAGATGCAGCTTATGCGGGAAGTTCTTTTGTATGCGAAGAGAATCGTCATTTTATGAAAGGTATTGAACTAGTAGACTCGTTTAATTTTAACTTACATAAGTGGATGCTTGTAAACATGGATTGCTCTGCTCTATGGCTTAAAGATAAAAGTAAATTAAGTAATGCATTCAATGTTGAGGCTTTATATTTACATGACTCTACTAGTGAAAAAATACCTCAATATCGACACTGGCAGATTCCTTTAGCACGTCGATTTCGTTCACTAAAGATATGGTTTACACTTCGTCTTTATGGTCAAAAAGGAATACAGAGCTATATTAGAAACCACATTGAACTAGCCAGGAGGTTTGAAGAACTTGTTCGATCAGATGAACGGTTTGAGATTTGTTATCCAGTGACAATGGGTTTGGTGTGTTTTCGTATTAAAGGAAGTAACGAGCTAAACGAAAAGCTGAATATGTCAATAAATTCTGAAGGTTCTATTTTTATTACTCCTTCAAAACTTGGAGATAAATACATTTTGAGGTTTGTTGTTACTTATGAGCATGCAAATCTAGATCATATAAACTACGCATGGGATGTTATTAAAAAACACGCCGAGTTGTTATAAATATTACACTCTGTTTTTGTTAAGATTATTGCTAAAATAACAATAAAATGTTTCTAAGTCTTCAGAGCATCGACAACTTTTTTAAGTTTTTGATGTAATTTTCAAACATAAAAAATCTCAAAACTTTTCCGCGTTTAGGTTCATGTCAAATATAGGTGGTTTTAAATTTTTATTAACTAAAACCTCAGTAAATTTTTTAATATACTTGATTATTGAAGTTTTTATTTAACTCAAAATAAAATATAATATAAAAGGTTCTAATGCGGTAGTAATGTAGTATGCGGCAGTGGTGTAGTGGTAGAGCGCTCGCTTCATAAACGAGTGGTTCCGAGTTCGATCCCCACCACGTCCCTGGTAGTACCGCGCTCAACTCGTTTCTCCGCGCAGCGGCCTTGTTTGTCAAGGTTCGTGTTTCGGAGTTATAGAGTTGAGAGAGGGTTATAGCCACAAAATAAGTAGCCTCCTCGTTTGTAGTGGCCTTCTCGGCCCTGAGGAGGTGAAGTAAAATTTAAAAAAAAAAAAACATATTATTATTTTAATTTTCTTATTCTGAATTACTAGCTTGTTCTATTTTGAAAACGAGCAGTAAATTTCATATATTATTGATTAAACAGGCTACAAGACAATTACCGCCATATTTTTGTCAAAGTTAAATTCTAATTGTAATGTTGATGTCATCAAGGCTTAACTCTAGTTGTCATGTTAATGTTGTCAAGATTCAATTCTATGTCTTTTACAACTCATTTATAAAAATGAGTAGATAAAATCTATAAACTATAAATCAAAATATATAAATTTTTATTTTTAGTTCCACTTTGTTAATCTTGAGTTGTTTTACTAATATAGTTGTCATTAAATGATTCTGAAATACTGCAAGACCACTTTTTTCTGTCACCTTTTTAAAAAACATTTTTTTAAAGGCTTTCTAATTTTTTTATTGATAAAATTAACACTAAAAGATAAAGTTTATAGATCACCTAAATTAAAATAAAATTTCAAATAATAAACAGTATAAAATGTATTTTATTTTAATTTAGGTGATCTATAAACTTTATCTTTTAGTGTTAATTTTATCAATAATAGTGTTATTTTATCAATAATAGTGTTAATTTTATCAATAAACAGCTAGTATACTAGCTGTCGTGACCCGAACGATACGGGTCGTGGAAAGTCTATTTCACACCCGACTATTTCTAAACTTGTTCTTAATTTAGTCTTAATACTTTAGTTTATTTTAGTAAACGGAAAAAAAATAAATCAATTTAAAGTTCTGGTAATAGGTAAAATGCAAACATTTTTGCGAACCATAGATCTATTGATTGTTAAATTATAATTAACTTAAAAGAAAGTAGTCTTAAATAAAATATATTTAAAAAATTGATGAGCAAATGTTTTATAAATACCATAACTGTTGTGGTCATTAAGATATCTTGGTTCGCTAAAAAGTTCACAGTTCGTATTTTACTGACTACCTAAAATTCTTGTTTTTTTTGTTGTTTTTTTTGCGTTTTGGAACTTATTTAGTATTTTTAACTTATTGCATCATTATTTATTTACTTCAATATTTTCAATAAAAATATAAATGGTTTCCATTCATATGCGTTTAAAACAATAATTTCAAAGATAAAAAATATAGAAATTTTTTTGGAAAACAAACAAAAAATTTTTCTTTACATAAAATAAATATATAAACTTTTAAAAAAAAAACTACAAAAAATTTTATCAAAAGTTTTTATAAAACAATTTAAATTTTTATTTATCATTTTTTTTCATTTTTATATATCTTTTAGTAAATAGTATAAAGGTTTTCAAGCTTCATTTAAGTTTTTTGAATACAATCAACATTCAAAACATTTCCTAAATTTTATTAAATTAAGTTTCTTAATTTAATTCTGTAGTAACTTTCAAAATCAATCAAAGGAGAAGGAATTATTGAATACACTTAATACACATTAACTTGTTATGTACTCATATTATTTAGTTGGAAACTAAAAAATATGACTAAGCAGAAATAAAATAAGAAACTTTCTTTGTGAGGTTGTTTATCTTTTGTGAAAGTTTCAAGATTTATTGATGCAATTTTGTATTAACAACTCTTTTTAAAAAAGCAAGGCTAAAAATAAATGATCAAAATAAGATAAACTTTTGTTTTTCTTTAAAAACTGAATTATTTAAGTGAATGATTATATGTAGTCAATTTCAGTAATAAAACTACCCAATAGCCATTTTCATTATATTTATACAACATAGTAATAACATATATAAAAAATGGTCACAACATATAAACAACATGGTTATCTTGTTTCAATAACAATTATTGTTTTTATTGAACAAAAAATTTATTCCATTAACATCAAACCATAGTTACCTGAGTTAAGGATCTTTTTATAAATTTGTGAACAAAATTTATTTAGAATCAGCTACAGAGTTGTCTAAAAAAGTCGGTGTTGAAGTTTTCCCTCTTTAATGTGACCATATAAATTTGTATTTCTTTAATACTTGATGTTTAGCAATCTTATTATAACTATTTTCCCATGAAAAGAACGAAATCAAAGGTATTTTCACTGCATTGTTTCTAAGAGCAGAAATTCCATCAATTACTCCCTCTCAGATTTTTTTTTTACTTTAATTTTTATTTTTTTATTATTTAAAACGTAATAAAGTTTAAATAAAAACTGTTATTTTTAGTATTTTGCTATCTAAAGATTATTTCTTAGAATATAAAAGCACTGTGGCCAATGATAATGTACTCTGATGTCAAACCTGAGCTGGCAAAACCTGTTATTGACTCACTGAAGTGACACACCTGGTACATTGATCCTACCGCTGTTGTAATAGCTTTAGCTGATGAAGAGGTCCATGACCGTGACAAGATTGCTAAGAAGCTGTATTCCATGTCAAGACCTGAGAATTATGTTGTACACAGACAGCAGGTGGATTCTGAATTGTTGAACAATCTGGATTTTGGTCAGGCTAATCCTCCTAGCTTGGTTTCACTGATATCGGGTGGACACGGAAAAATCCGGTCAACTTTAAATTGAGATTTCTCTAAAACCATAAATGCTTTTTATTTCAATTTTTTTATTATCAAATGTGTTTACATCGATTAGAGTTTCAACTTAATTTTAAGGGGCTTGATGGGCTGTTTGGCAAGAGATCGAATTTTAAAGCGGGTTGATGCCATCATTTCGCAGATTTTTTCTTTTTTCATCTTATTGTTGACATTAATCTACGTTTTTTCGAAGTTATTTTTACTTTTTATTACACCACCTGTCTTACAAAGAACTCCTTTAACTATTGCCCAAAAATCTTTAACCGTGCGCTCTTCAGGACGATAAGGAGGTTTTTTATCTTCAGGAACAATTTTCACATTATCATCTTTGCACCACTGTAAAACCTTTTTAGAATAGTGAGAAGCAGCAAGATCTGGCCAAAAGAGACATTGGTATTTGTGTTTTTTCATAAATTTCAAAAATCATTGTTGGAGGTATTCTTTGATGTAGAGATTGGCATTCAAGATCTTCATAGTGAAAAAACAAGAGGATTGAATACCACGGCTTCAAATTGCTAGCCACACAAGGAATCTAGATGCAAATTTTTCTCGTTGAATATTTTTAAATTGATCATAAACAGATTTATCTTTGTTCTCATAATAAAATTGTTGACCAAGAAGTTGTAAAAAATCCGCCTTTCAATATGTTTCGTCGTCTTCAATTATACACATACTTTTATCTGCCTTTATTTTAACCAACTTCTTAGTGCGTTGAATTTCTTGATGTATTTTCTTATGAAATGCTTTAATTCCAGCATTTTTAAGTACTTTTTTGATATAAGAACGCAAAATCTTGAATTTTCTTGCTAGATCTTGCTGTGACTGATTTGGATTTCTTACTATTGAACGTAAAATCAACTTTACCTTTTTGGATTTATAAAAAAATTTCTTTCTTCTACTTCCAGGTTTTCTTTCAAAGCTTTGAGTAGTCTTGAACTTATTTATAATATTTATGACTGTAGATTTTGGGTCATTTGCACGTTTAGCAATCGAGCGATATGAAGTCAATGGATTTTTTCAAATCACAACTTATTTACGCACATCAATTTGTTTCCAAAACATTTTGCAAATCATTAATTTGTAAACAAATTTTTATCAACACAATTAAAGATAAAGAAAGTAACGTTGAATTAAAAAAAATAAAAGAAATAAAAAGCATTTGTGGTTTTAGAGAAATCTCAATTTAAAGTTGACCGGATTTTTCCGTGTTCACCCGATAAATAAACAGAATTGGTTCATACTTCATCTCTTAAACCATGGGAAAGCAGAGTTACAGTGGTTAAAAACCCATGGAACCTGAATGATTATTATCTGGAGTTTAAACATTTTGTTAAAAATCTGGTTAATGATGGTAATAAGAGAGCTGTGAAACTCGTTTAGGTATAATTTTTAAAAATTATTAAGTTTAAACCTATTGTAGAAATTATAAAGGTAATTTCAACAAACATTTTATTTTTAACTAGGAGCTGATCAACAAATCCCACAAGGAGAAGAACACGTTTAATTAAAAAAAAAAAAAAAGAAATAAAAATGTGATTTTGAAAATCTTTCTTTTTGAGTATTTGTGCTGAAACTTTATTTTTTATGCCCTTGCATTATTGAAAGATAACAAATGCTGCTAAACGTCATATATTGAGATAAACAAACTAATATAGTCACATAAAAGAGGAACAAAACTAACTCTTTTTTAGACGATTCTAAAGCTACTTTATACATTACATTCCGACTCTTAACACCAAAGGCATTGAAAAAGACCTTATCGAAGAGCAAAAAAATGCTAAAAATCAACATTTTTGAAAAATGTGATTGTTTGATTGCCCATTGTTAAATGATATAAGGCTTAACATTGGATTTTTATTTAATTATTATGCATAAAATTGCGTAAAAAAATTTATTTTTTCAAAAATGATCCATGGGAAGGGTTCCCGCAATTTGACTAAAAAAGGGTCAAAAGCGGCCTAAAATTGAACTTTGAGCTATTTGCGCGGACTGATAGGGTCGTCCAATTATGACGAAATTTTTTTTAATAATATTTTTTTTAGTAATATCAATGGTGGGGCACCATATGAAAAGCAATGTTAGTTGAAATTTTAAAAAGTCATTTTTTGGAAACACCCTAGGGTATATATATGAAGACGACACGGGTAAAACC